CCGTGGGGTCTGGGGCTCGAACTGTGGTTGACTATATGGGAGACCAGCGATGTAGCCATTATGCCATCTGCTGATCCCCCAAATTTTCAATTTTTTGAGGCAAAAAATTCGTAAGATTATTTTAGTCCCACAATAACAATTTGAATCATTCCTTTTCAATGTGTATGTAATAACTTAGTATGAATACTGACATCAGTGTTGACACTAGTACATTACCTTGCCTTTTTTTAAGAAAAAGATTTTATTATTTAATTGTATTTATTATTATTATATTTTAGTTTGACCAGACAGAGACAGGGAGGGAGAGAGAGAGAGAGAGTGGGAGAAGTGAGAAAGCAAGCCACCAGGTCCAAGACGTGAACTTTAGTTGACCATGTGGGAGTCCAGTGCCTCAACCACAATGCTGCATGCTGGTCCCCCCATTACTGTACCTTTTTAACCAGCTCTAATTCTTGCATAGTTTTCTGAAGTTGTTTCTTTTCCTTTTGAAGTTGTAGCTGAAGATCTTCAAGTTCATTTACAACACTGGTATGTTCCTGAAATGAAAAATAAAAACCATCCCAACTCAACCTAGATTTACAAAAGTAATTTTAAGGGGCTATAAAATGAATCGGACGCATTAAAATACAAGTTTGGCCATCTTTCACTGTTTAAAAATATACCCCTAAATAAATACCAGCATCGTCCTGTGGCCTGGGAGCCCAGCCCCTTGAGGTGCTCTCCCTGCTTCTCCACCTCCTCATGGTTCTCTGCTCTTGCTGCGCACCGGCCACAGCCTTCTTCAGTTCTCTCCAAGTACCCTCTCCTTCCATGAACAGCCTTTATGAAGGTCGTTCATTCTGCTTGGCATGTGCTTCCCTCCTCAGGCCTCCCCTGACTTTCTAACGCCTACTCATATGCCATGTTTTATGGAAGCGAGCTTGCCTAAATCTTTAGACTTATTTGCATTCCCCATTATATACATAGTACTGTGCTTAAAAAAAGTATACAGTTTTAACTATCTCTGTATTTGTAAGCATATTTGATTCAAGTATATCTTCTTTATTGGCCACAACACTCCCAACAGCAAGGACCATGTCTATTTAGCTCACTACTATATTTGGTGGCCGTGATGGATGTAATAAATATTGGCTGAATGAATGAATGAATGAATGAAAAAGTATACTATCAAAAACCATAGCTTGGATTCTTAAGCTTATAGCTGGCATACATTAAGGAATGAACGAGAACTCTGCAGTACTCACAAAGGCTACTCTTGGTAAGTCTCTCTCTTGCGATACTCTGATTAGAAACACTAGTATAGATACTCGTGATCTGATCTCACAAGACTGTTTTTACCTTTATTTTCTGTTCTTTCTGAAGTTTCTCAGTTTCCAGTTCTTTGTCTACCATTGCTTTGGCTCTTTGGACTTCTAATATCTGTGCTTCTAATAACTTGGCATTAGACTGCAGTGTCTCAATACGAGCTAATAGATCTTCATTATCAGAATTTAATTTTTCACACTGGAATGACAAATAATGCATTACTGTAAATATGCAGAAAATACATACAGAATGGGAAGAGTGAAGTGTACACTGTGCTGGTCCTGCAGCCTACTGGTTAAGGGGGCAAGATCTCACATGGCTGAAAAATCCCAGGCCTGGTGGCTTGAAAAACATGCTATGTGCATGTGTGCCCAAAATCCTGACAGAAAGGAGATACGGAGAAGGGAATGTGGAATAACCACACCCCACGAGGAGGTGCTTTCTCCTTCTCCCTGTCTCTCTGGTGAGCATATGTGCCCTCTGGCAATTAAAACAAAACAAAACAAAACAAAAAACCCCAGGTGGGGCCAGCAGATGGCATGGCGGATGAGAAACTGGATTCCTATACGGCCAACTGTGGTTTGAGTCCCAGACCTGGAGGCTTGAAATCATACTGGGTGCATGTACATGCATGCCCAAAATCCCAAGAGAAGGATGGAGGAGAAAGAAGTGCACTGTGGTCACCAACCCCCGGAGGGGGATTTCTCACTTTCCTTCTTACTTTCTCTGTTTCTGATGAGTGCATATACCCTATGGCAAAAACCTAAAAAAAAGAGAGAGAGAGATGTATGAGAATATTGGCATAGCGGAGATTTCAAACAAAATGACACAGAATGACAATGTTAAATCAAGATCGACTTTTGAAAACTATTGTTGCTGATAATAAGGCCAATCCTTAAAACAGATCAGATACACTGATCAATGCAAAGGGTAAGAAAAAATGGGAAGAGAACCCCCAGGGAAACGGAAGTTAGAGTACTATGCAAGACAGGAGAGTTGCTAATATTTTGTTACATTCTTCTCAGGTCAATGGAGGGAAAAGGGAAATTAACTTAGCTTCTGGCTATATACTAATTTACAATTTTTATTCAAAGCATTGAGATTAAAATATATTTATTACAATGTTCACTTCTGATTTACTCAACTTAAAATTACCTGAAAAGTTGAATTTCTTAATTGTTTCATAAGGTCTTCTATATGATGTTCAAAATTATCAGCTCGTTCTTTTTCCATATCCAACTGCTCTGACTGCTTGTCATATTCTAATAAAAGATTCTTCAATAAAAGACAAAAGGTCTTAACTTTAGGATATTATACATTCCTCAGGTCACACTTTATCATCACACTATCTTGACACGGGATTTTTAAGTCCACTGTGGATGCTTAAAATATTTACCCACGCTCACCATTTCATGCAATACCAGCTGGCATTAGATAATAAATTACCATAATCCAGATCACTTTTAGTATGGGGGGGATAATAAATGGAAAGAAAATTTAAGCATATATAACACCTCCAAGATCATAAACATTCTACTTGTGAACAAAAGAAACCCTTCTGAAATGTAAACAAAATTTAAGAAGGGAGAATGAAAAGTTTAACCTGAACAACTATAAACTGCACCTGAAGAATTCAGATAAGGCGATGTCCTGGGCCCGTTCTAATGTAAGGCAGCAGTGCAAATGGAAGAGCATTACCACATAAACACAGCTGCTCATAGTTTGCAGGAAAACTTAGTATTTTCTAAAGAATCCAAAACCAACCGAATGTTTTTCCTTGATAGTCTTAGTTGGCCAACTCAAGGATAGAATGTTCAGACTGACTTTTCTGATATTCTGCAGTGAGGTTATCTCCCAAAATATGTAAATAAGCTGCTGTCTCCAGACTACTTGTAGGTTTTTCTTTCTCTTCCTTCTCCTTACAAATGCTGTTTTGTGTTAGTTCCTGCATAATTTCTGACTATTCTCTTTCCCATTTATTAATTTACCATTGTTTGTAAATGTCTTTAGAAGCCCCACTGAGATAATATTCACCTGGCTCCTACCGTCAGAGCCACAAGGAGGAGGCCTGCAGTGGCCTTCGTCTGGACCAGGAGCCCTAAGTCCCTGGCTCTACCTGGCAAGCTCCCCTGGTGGTCTTATGGAGGCATTTATACCCTGTAAAAAAGAGAGAGAGAGATGTATGAGAATATTGGCATAGCGGAGATTTCAAACAAAATGACACAGAATGACAATGTTAAATCAAGATCGACTTTTGAAAACTATTGTTGCTGATAATAAGGCCAATCCTTAAAACAGATCAGATACACTGATCAATGCAAAGGGTAAGAAAAAATGGGAAGAGAACCCCCAGGGAAACGGAAGTTAGAGTACTATGCAAGACAGGAGAGTTGCTAATATTTTGTTACATTCTTCTCAGGTCAATGGAGGGAAAAGGGAAATTAACTTAGCTTCTGGCTATATACTAATTTACAATTTTTATTCAAAGCATTGAGATTAAAATATATTTATTACAATGTTCACTTCTGATTTACTCAACTTAAAATTACCTGAAAAGTTGAATTTCTTAATTGTTTCATAAGGTCTTCTATATGATGTTCAAAATTATCAGCTCGTTCTTTTTCCATATCCAACTGCTCTGACTGCTTGTCATATTCTAATAAAAGATTCTTCAATAAAAGACAAAAGGTCTTAACTTTAGGATATTATACATTCCTCAGGTCACACTTTATCATCACACTATCTTGACACGGGATTTTTAAGTCCACTGTGGATGCTTAAAATATTTACCCACGCTCACCATTTCATGCAATACCAGCTGGCATTAGATAATAAATTACCATAATCCAGATCACTTTTAGTATGGGGGGGATAATAAATGGAAAGAAAATTTAAGCATATATAACACCTCCAAGATCATAAACATTCTACTTGTGAACAAAAGAAACCCTTCTGAAATGTAAACAAAATTTAAGAAGGGAGAATGAAAAGTTTAACCTGAACAACTATAAACTGCACCTGAAGAATTCAGATAAGGCGATGTCCTGGGCCCGTTCTAATGTAAGGCAGCAGTGCAAATGGAAGAGCATTACCACATAAACACAGCTGCTCATAGTTTGCAGGAAAACTTAGTATTTTCTAAAGAATCCAAAACCAACCGAATGTTTTTCCTTGATAGTCTTAGTTGGCCAACTCAAGGATAGAATGTTCAGACTGACTTTTCTGATATTCTGCAGTGAGGTTATCTCCCAAAATATGTAAATAAGCTGCTGTCTCCAGACTACTTGTAGGTTTTTCTTTCTCTTCCTTCTCCTTACAAATGCTGTTTTGTGTTAGTTCCTGCATAATTTCTGACTATTCTCTTTCCCATTTATTAATTTACCATTGTTTGTAAATGTCTTTAGAAGCCCCACTGAGATAATATTCACCTGGCTCCTACCGTCAGAGCCACAAGGAGGAGGCCTGCAGTGGCCTTCGTCTGGACCAGGAGCCCTAAGTCCCTGGCTCTACCTGGCAAGCTCCCCTGGTGGTCTTATGGAGGCATTTATACCCTGTCAGCTCTAGCTTACCAAATCCCATTCTTGGCCAGCCTTTGTTTCTAATTCTGATTTACACATTGTTAACTATTTGTCTACCTTGTGGCAGAGTGTTAAAATCTGAGTTTCAGTTTTGGTCTGCCCATGTAGAGTTGACTGGTGAGACAGGTACTAGCGATCTAGAATCTGGTTTATAGATTTGTTTGTCCACATTTTTTACCTGAAGATTCTGTGGTTGCTTAGTATTTGTGTGGACTCTTCTGAAGATCAGATCTTTATTACCTTCAATTCTTTCCAGACTTTTTCATTTTTACTCATTATGCTCCTTACAGTTGTCAATAGCTACACAGATTATAAAAAATTGCTATGCCAAGGATGACTCTGGTAAACAATGGCTCCTCACAGGAAATTCTGACTTTAGTCAAGTGTGACTCCTAAAGGAAGCCTTGGAACAAAAAAAAATGAATGCTAGGTACATAATGGTCTACTTCCTTGATGGGTACGCAGATGCTTCTAAGCACCTGAATAATCACAAATTATTGTACCTTTAGGACTTTTTTAGCATCCAGATCTTTTAATAAATTGATAAAAGTTATAAGTGATTTATTGGCACACCGAAAAATAAATTGTTAGGCTGGTCCCATGTCCTAATGTTTAAGAGATGGAACCCACATGGCTGACTGTGGTTCAAATCTTGGCTCTGGCTTGAGAAACAAGCCAGGCTTATGTGTGTGCATGTTCGAAATCCCAACGAGGAGAAATGGAGGAGGGATTGTGATGTGACCACATCCCATGGGAAGGTGCTTTCTCCCTGTATGTCTTGTACCTGTGTCCTCTGGCAGTTTAAAAAATAAAAAAAGAAGGAAAGTAAAAGAAAATGTTTAGCTAAATTTATAAGTAAACTACAAAAGTATTCATCATCTTTTATAATGATGCTTTCTGAGGAATCTAATGGAGCTGAGCAATATGCCTTTATTTTGTAACTTATTTCTGGGAACACGTATTTATTAAGGCCGTGACAGTGGCACTGTTACCACCAGGCCTCCCTCAGGCCAGCCCCCACTGCATGGGCCACCCTCAGGCATACTCTCTTACAAGGTGCTGGCTGTGAGACTGCTTCCTTGCAGGGTTCTCCCTACCATGCTGTGGACGTGCAGGAAGATTCACATGATTCTGTTCAAAAGACTTTGTCATCCAGAAGGGGTGGATGGGAAAGTAGCAGGGGAGGTTTCCAGGAGGGTGGTGGTAAAAAAGGCACCCCATCCTTTGTCCAACTAATGGCAGCTGTGGACACACAGCTAACTTTTTCTGTGGGTGCAGTGCCTTGTATCCAGCCTGAGGAGATGTGGGTTACATAGGAGATTCAGGATGGCCAACATCTCTATGACAAAAATGTGACAGTGGTGAGAAATGTGCAGATTTAGGGCACAAGAAAGGGCATCTGGCTTTAATCCCTTCTTCTACCCCAGAGAGGAAGGGGCAGCAGAGACCTGCTGACTTGACCTCATTTCACATTGAAGAACAGCAGTAACCCACCCCGCGGCAGGCCAGTGCCACCCTCTCATTCTCCACATGGAGAAACAGGACAGACGAGAGTCCTAGTGCCGCATGTGGGCAGGATGACAGCATCCTTTTCTTATGGTGCAGAGGGGCCAGCAAGGGTGTGATGCTGTCTGTATGCCCCTCAGACAGGCAGCTGACTTCCTACTGAGTCACGTGTCTCCTCTTGGGCTTCCTGGTCCTGAGGATGGATTCGGAGCTCTGTTCCCTGACCCCTGCCTACCATGTGTCAGCTGTGTGCACCTGGAGCCAAGCACAGACCATGACGAGAAGGAAAGGGGCAAAAGGCCAGGAAGCTGTGTAACATCCCTGCCTGGGGCCCTCCTGGAGCACATGGTCTGTAAAGTGTGAATGCCAAGGTGAGTGTTGCTCCGCCACTGAAGAGCTCTGCTGTGTAGGAGCTCTTGGTCATCTTGAGACAGGGTCTGGACACATCCCTATGGCCTGGTCTTCCTGCTGGGCTCTAGGCTTCCTGCCCAGGCTCCTGTGAGCAAATGCTCTCAGCTCCCAACCTTGGATCCCAAACAAAGGCTCTGGCTGCTCATCTCACAAAACCCCTCCAAAGCACTGGGGCAGCAAGACAGAATTATTCAGGAAAATCTGGTCCTGAGAAATGCCATTCAGACCTATTCTAACCAACTTGCGGCCTAACTAGGAGCCTCCCTTAGTACCCCCTGGCTACCAGCTCAGGGAAAGGAGGCAGCAGACCGGGTCGAAGTGGGAGCAGGTGTATCCAGCTGGGAAAAGCTCCATGGCCCTTCTGCTCCCTTTGCACAGGAAAGACGGCTAACACCACTGGATGGTCACCCCAGGACTCAGAAGGACCTCAGGAGGCCACAGAGGAGCAGGTCCATGGGGGATGAGCAGGAGCAAACTAGCCAGGGTCTCTGAAAAGCCAAAGACATGAGGGTCCTGAGGAGGGGCAGTCCTCATGGGCACTGCTGTTTCTCCTCTAGTCCATAGGGGAAAAAAGTCTGGGTGCTGCGCCCAGGAGGTCTTCAGAGTTGAATGTACACCTTGACTTTGGCAATGACCAGCAGGGTGGGTGGCAGACAGGCAGGCTGGGGGCCTGGTGCTCCCCTCGGAGTGCCCCAGGAATCTACATTCGAACCAGACTCTTCAAAGAACAAGTGCTTCTCCAGGGTGAGCTGGGCACACTTTGGGCACATGGTTGACTTGTGACATTACCAGTCCCTGTTAAAGATAGCTGAGAGTCAGTGCATGTGGATGTGAGGCTGCCACAGGGGAATAGCATGCCGCCCTCTTAATAAAATACTTGCACACTAAGCCCTTGGCCTGGGACCATTCATGGTCCAGCTTGTGCTTGGCCAAGTGTGTGTGGGTCTCCATGAGCGATCAGCTGAGGGGCGCCTGTGCACCTCCAGGAGGTCCTGGACCAGAAACGTCTCATCGTTCTCTGCAGAATACTGCTGGTCCTGCAGAGCAGACGTGCCTCCACGGCCTCCTTGCACGTGATGAAGTCTGGCTTCGTGAGCAGGATGTCCGGCGCTGTGTCTGGATGTCTAGCAGCTCCTCCACGTAGTTGATCAGCAGAGGGTTGATCTCTTGGAGCCGGAGCACTGCAACACCGTAAGTGCCAGAAGCGCATGCTGCTGGGAGACACCTCATGTGGCTCGAAGTCTCCGCTGTGTAGGACATGTGTGGGGACGACAGCCTGTGTCGTCACAGTGCCGTGCCTCACTGGACACGCCCCGTGGAGGGGCGGAGCAGGCATCAGTGGTGCAGGCCCCCCTCCCCAGCTTCCACCACGTGTCCATCCTCCCTTGGCCCACTGCAAGGGAGACAGCAAGCTGGACCAGAGTTTCCACCCTTCAGACTCCTCCTCTTCTCAGCCTTGCCTTGAGTTTTCTCATTAGTGAAGTGAACAACGACCCCACGATAGGAGGAGGGAGAGCTCACACAGGGCTGGGAGACAAGGTTCAGGCACTTGCTGTGACAGCGGTACCAGCCCGTGGCCAGTGTACAGGTCTGAGCGAGCCCCTGAGGACGTGCTGCACTTGTCACGGGCTTGCCGGACACTCTGGCTCTGCTCCTGGTACTAACTGAAGTGGTGCTGAGGAGGACTCGGATCATGGGCTCATCCTCACTGGGGTCCGTCAGCCCCTGGAGCTTCAGCTGGAGGTGGATGAGCCCCACCACGGCATCTTTATGTTTCTCCGACTGCTCAGGAAGCTCCAGATCACCTCCTGACCCTTCTCAATTGCCAGCTGCTGGATACTGGAGCCAGGAGCAGACCCACGGGACGAGAGAAGTGGTCGCAGAAGAGCCAACGCCCATCACACCCATCTTGTGCTCCGTGCAGTGGAGCTGCGGCTCCCAGGTGGCAGCTTAGGAAGGGCCACTTCAGAAGGGACGTCTGGGCCTTCCTCATCAGGACCCTGCTCATGCTGCCTTGGCCCACACAGCTTGCTGACAGGGTTGAGATGGGCCTTCCAGAACCGGACCTGTCTCTCATCATATTCCATAGCATTCCACCTGACTGCAGCTGCCCTCGCTACACTGCCACCTGCATAGCAGACTTGGCTACGTTGTACCCAGTGGGCTGCTCCAAAAGTGATCAACGATCTCGAACACTTCAGCACTTCTAAATATACCTTAAGTTCTACTGTTTTATTGCAGGTGGAATTGTCTCAGCACCCCCAGTGCTAGGACTGCAGGTGTGTCACCACATCACCTTTCTTAGAGTATGCTGGGAATCAAATCTGAGCTGACCGTATGGCCTCAGCCTATTGAGATAATGTTATAACCATGAAATCAATCGTTTTAAACAAATAAATTGGTATACCTGGTCTACCTCCAGAAGAAATTAATAAATTAGATGAAAAATCTCCTAAAATATAGAGAAGCAAGCTCCTAATTTAACTGGCTCATGAAAGATGAGTAAGTCCATCTATAAAATTTAAAGAATTATATATTAATTTTCTTTATTATTATTATTATTTTAAATTTGCAACAGGGCATGTGCTCTCTCTCTCGACCAAGCCGCTAGGTCAAGGACTTAAACTGCAGTGGTCATGTGAGAGTCTAACACCTGAACTACCATACCACATGTTGGGCCAAATTTAAGTAAGTTTCTTAAACAAGGGACTTATAAGGCACTGTCATATATCCAATTACATTTCATGACAAAAACTCTACATGGATTAGAAATAAAAGGAAAATACCTCTAAATGATAAAAGCATGGCAAACCTGGAACTACCATCAAACTGAATAGGGAAAAGAAAACAACTGGAACGAGACAGGAATCCCCACTCTCACCATTGTTATTCAACATAACATTGGGAATGCTAGCCAGAGCAACTAGGGAAGAAAAGCAATAACGGGCACACTAATTGCAGAAGAGGAAATCAAATTGTTTCCAAATGATAATATTCTAAAGGATTTGCTATAAAATTCTTAGAACTGATATATTCAGTAAAGTTGTAGGATACAAAACCAATATATAAAATTCAGTAGCATTTCTATACACCAATAAAGAACTAGCTAAAATAAAAAATCAAGAATGTAATCCTACTTATAACAGCTATAAAACAAACAAAAAAAGCCCACCTAGGAATACATTTGAGCGAGTAAATGATCTCAACAATGAAAACTATAAAACACTGATTAAAAAAAAACGGAGGCCAACAGGTGGCATGGTAATTAAAGTGCTGGTCCCCAAGGCCAACCACAGTTTGAGTGCTGGACCTGGAGGCTTGAAAATCAAATCGGGCACATGTGCACACATGTCCAGAAACTTAGGAGAGTGGAGAACTGACTGCAGTGCACGGCCAGTCCCCCACATAGGTGATCTCTCCCTGTCATTTTCACGTTCTCGCTCTCTGGTAAGCACATGAGCACTATGGCAAAAACCTGGAAAAAAACAAATGTGAAGACACATAAAAATACAAAGATCCTGTGTTCATGATGTGCAAGAATCAATATTACTAAAATGTTCATACTATCAAAAGGGATCCACAGATTCAATGTGATATATACCAAAATACCAACAGTATTCTTTACAGAGACAGAAGAAACAATGAAAGGGCTGGTCCAGTACCATAGTTTAGCCCTGTGAACAGGGCGCTGGATCCCACAGGGCTGCCGTGGTTTGAATCCTGGCCCTGAAGGCTTGAACAAACCAAAATCCTGACAGGATGGATAGAGGAAAAGAGATTGCAGCGTGCCCACACCCTGCTGTGGGAGGGCACTTTCCCCTTCTCTCTGTAGAGAACACATGTGTCCTCTGGCAACCGAGGAGAGCGGGTAGGAGGGGAAAGAATTCCCGTTTCTGTACATTCAGTCCTCCTATGTAAGTTTTGTAATTTTCATTAAGTGCCAAAACTTCTCATTAGAATTCCTAAAGAACTGTTTTTGCCTACTATGGAATTTCCTCTTCCCGATAAGTCCCATTTGATTACTGCTCCCTTCTTACCCACCTTTACTTTTCTACAGAGCAGGTATCCAGGGTTTTTGCTTACTTGTCATTGTACTAGAATTTAAGTTCTAAGAGGACAGGTAATTATGAGGACTTCAAAGAGTACACAGAAAATGCTTATTATGTTAAAGTGTACATGGATTTCAAAAATTTTTTTGGAGGGGTTTTTGCTATAGGGCATGTGCACTTGCCAGAAAGACAGAGACAGAAAGCAAGAAATCACTCCCCAGGGGGTATGGCCACACTGCAATCCCTTCTCCATTCTCCTGTTGGGATCTTGGGCACGCATGCACACATGCCCGGCATGAGTTTAAACCGCTGGGCCCAGGACTTGAACTGCAGTTGACTACATGGGAGTCCAGTGACACAGCCATTACACCAACTGCTGGTCCCAGGATCTCAAAATTTTTGTACCACAGCAAACTTGTAGTTTGATCCCTTGTGGAACCCTTACGAAGCCTCCTACTTGCCTGACCACCACCACCTACTCCAGCAGGTTGTCTCCCCTCACCCATGGATTCACTTCTTGTGGTTTCAGTTACCCACAGTCAACCGGTCAGAAAACGGGTGAGTACATTAAGTATAATACGGTATAATGCGGTATTTTGAGAGACGAAGCCTACATTTATGTAACTTTTATTACAGTGTATTGTTCTAGTTGTTCCATTTTATAATTAGTTATTATTCAACATAATAATTCAGTTACTCTCTTACTGTTCCTAATTTATAAATTAAACTTTACCGTATGTAGAGCATAAAACAATATAGAAAGGGCTTAGTAGCATCTGCAGTGGTGAGTATCAACTGGGGATTCTGAAAAGTATCTTTTGCAAATAAAAGGGACCACTGTAATTAGAGCTTGGCTTGACCACATAAATATTTGCAAATAAATACTGAGCTATAAAAATAAATGAATACATGAAGAAATATAATAGTGTTTATTTTGTATGTGGTGATTCTGTTCTACTTTGTTACTATTTTTGGTCCAGGACATCAATCTGGGCCTTGCCTGTGGCCCCAGCCTTCCAGATTAGTTGTACCATCCTGAGCTGGGGTATATATTTTTATTTCTTTTATTGTGTGTAATAGATTCTCATGTTATTAAGGTAGACAAGCTACTAACGATGTTTTCACCTTTTTTTTTTTTTTTTGAAGAGGTTTTCACTATAGGGCGCGTGCGCTTGACAGACAGACAGAGAGAGAGACATAGAGACAGAAAGCGAGAAATCACCCCCCAGGGGGGATGGCCACACCGCAATCCCTTCTCCTCCATTCTCCTCTTGGGATCCTGGGCACGCACGCACACGCACTGGGCGTGAGTTTTATGCCACCGGATCCCAGATGCGAACTGTGGTTGACTTCGTGGGAGTCCAGCGACATAGCCATTACGCTAACTGCTGGTTCCCGATGTTTTCACCTTTTCATTAGACCTTTTATTTTGGCTTTGAATGTATTCACTTGGTCAGAATAATATTAAATAATAGTATTTAATTACTTTTTTATTATTGCTTTTATAGAAAATCCCAAAGTAGAATTTCACTTTAAAGAAATGATAGTTTAAAGGCACTATTAAAAGCTAAGCTACCTTAAAATCTTGATATTAGGATTCTACCACATTGTACAAATAGAAACAGATGTACTGAAATACAAGGTAACTGTTTTATGGACAAGGATTTTACATTCCCAGTGCGTGTCTTAATGCAGAAGTTATGAACATAACTTGATATCAGAACGGTTATTTTACCTTATAGCTTTCTGCTCCTTGAATGAGATCTCTCATGGAAGTAGATAACTGATCCTTTTCTGACCGAACAGCTTCGAGCTCTTCCCTCAGAGTTTGGGTCTGTTTTTAACAAACGGTACAGTGAAAGAGTTTTTCCTGAAGAGAAAATTCTTGATTTTCTAAAATGTGAGATCCCTAAACATTGCATCTTTAAGTAGGCTCACCTCTTTTCGGCTAGAATCTAGCTCTTTCTTTGCCTTCACAGCAACTAGCTTTAGCTTATTTATTTTCTCCTCCTTCTCTTTGGATTCTTTTTCCAGATTTCCTAAAAAATTGAAAATCAAAAAATAGAAAATAGAAAAGATTACATAAAGGGACTTTATGAAGTTCATGAAAAGTTGGGACCAGCAGTTGGCATAATGGCTATGGCGCTAGACTCCCATGTAGTTGACCGCGGTTTGAGTCCCGGACCTGGTGGCTTAAACTTACACCAGGCACGCGCGCGTGTGTGTGTGCCCAAGATCCCGAGAGGAGAATGGAAAAGGGATTGTGGTGTGGCCATCCCCCCTGGGGGGTGATTTCTTGCTTTCTGTCTTTCTGGCAAGCGCACACACCCTATAGCAAAAATATCTCCACCCCCCCCAAAAAAAAGTTCACGAGAAGATGATATTGAATTATCAGCTTATTTTGGTGTAAACTATCTTGAAATCCAAGTTTTTTCCCACAAAATGCATTTCTCATGAATTTTTAAGGCCTTTTGTATATGAACTAAAAATTCAATGTACTTGCTTATTTTAGTCTTAAGCCTTTGTTTCTTCACTTCAAATGGGAATATGAGAGCTCCTTGTATTGCTCTGCCAGGAGTAAATGTTACGGTAAGACCCCTAGGCCTCTGCGCGTCACAGAGTGCATGTCACTGGGCTCCTCCCCCCAGACAGAACCAGTGTGCTTCTTGACGTTATAGGCGTTAAAATGCAAGTACTTGCTGTTCCTTTTTATCAGGATGCCCTTTTCATGTTACATTTCTCGATCTTCAAGACCAAACTGAAGACCCTATCTGGGGATGTTTCTCCTAACTCAAAATAAGCAACTTCCTGTGCTGTCAGCACTGTATCTCGTCCACACTTCGAACCAGTTCAACTAGAGCTCCTCCTGGCAGTGAGCTCTCTGAACACATGGGTTATACCTTAATCACCTATTATACTGTTTAGGCCAGCTGGGCATTCAAATAAGATTTGAATGAAAAATCCAGAAACCACCATGGAACCACTTATACAGAGAGTCATGCCAGTCCTTTCTCAGGACTAAACAACAGTAAGAAACATTTTGAAAGGAAGGCAACCATGGGGGAGGGACAGAATAGGGGCATGAGAAGACAGCTTTCTCCCGTGACTTTAACAACTCACTAGTTGGCTGCCATATTTCCCATTCTTTTCCAACACTAACAAGAATCTGTGACACCATTACCTATTTTTTCTTCCAGCTCTTTTACTGAAGAGAGTTGATCATTTTTCACAGAAGACGATTTCGCTAAGTAATCCTAGATGTTGTGAGGACAAAAACAAAAACAATAACTCAAAAAAACAGAATTAGTTTCATTCCCTATGATGAACTGGCCACCATGTTAAAACATGAGCAAATTATCAAAAAGAAGTCATACAAAAAGCAATTTGGTTAATAGTCTTTTTCTTCCTTTGATAGTCTAGGTAATACTGACCTTATCATGCTTATAGCATTTACCATTAAAAGTGGTAATGTCTAAGGCCAACACAAATAACCTAACACATAGCAAATAAATACAGAATAAGAAAAAAACGAATGGTTAGAGTTTTCAATGGAAGTTTGAGAAAATCTGAAAATTCTAATTAAGGAGAGATACCAATATAGCCCACTTTTTGCGGTAACAGTACTCTTAAAGAAAGTTACTTTGGATAGCACACAAGAAAAAATTTGTTTTTCATGTTTACTTGTAGTTTTGCCAACAAGTAGTTACATCTTTTTGATCAGGACATTTAGACCCCAATCAATTAATTTAAGTTCAAGATTTAAAAATGATCTATTGGGTGGTTGGAAAAGTCATGATGCATTTTTACATAGGAAAACAAAAATATGTCATGACTTTTCCAGACTCACTAAAACCAAAAGAATGATCAATGCATTAAACATGATACATAACATGAAAATATTTTTCCAACTTTTCAGAAATTTGCCATTTGTCACTCTTTCTTCCGTTTCATATTTTTTATGGTTTAAATATTAAAAATTCACTTGACTTCAAGTTGTTAAAAATATTAATGTACATATTTTCTAGAGTGTCTAACTAGAACTAAGAATTGTTTTTTTTTTAAATTTTTTTGAATACAATTAAAATAGTACCTTTAATGATATCAATTCTGCTGTCATCTCTCGTAATTCGGACTCTCTTTGTTCTAGTAATGGCCTTAGGTTTTCCTGTTCCTCTATAAACGATTTTTCTCCCTCACAGATATCGTTTTTACTACATAATGTCTGAGAGGCTTCTTCAACTTGAATTAAGAGATTGTGATTTTCAAGCTTTATTTTTTCATTAGCATTCTTCATTTCTAGAAGATCAATTTGCAGGGCCTCTTTTTCTGACAGGGTTTCTTCTAACTCTTCCCTTAAGAGAACTTTTTCTTGCTCATGGGCGCTCAGCAAAGAACTAAATTCTTCGCGCTGTGCTATGTTCTCTTCTCGAAGGCACTTAACCTCTTTTTCTAACTGTAATACCCTTTCTTCATACTGAGAAACCAAGCTGTGCTGCTCCTCCTCTCTTCTTGCTAAGGATTCACCCACAGCTTGTAGAACATTTGTGGCATCTTGCTCTTCATTTTCTTCTGAAACTGTCAATCCCATTTGTTTCAGAAAACTATACAACTGAGTTTTGACGAATAACTTCTGAACTCGCTCATTTTCAAGTAGTTTACTTAAACTATCTTGTTCTTCAACCATTAACTGAATTTTCTTTTCTAATTCAGTAATATGTTCTTTAAGGCTAAGATCTCCTTCTTTTTGAGACAGAAGGGAGTCCAAATCCCTACTCAACTGGTTTTTTTCTGAACTGAGCCTATTATTTTCCTCAGAAAGAGAATGCATTTCAGATGACAATGCTTCCTGGTCTTCAGAGAGAGTTTTTATTTGAGCTGTAAGATTTTCTAGTTTTTGGTCGTTTTGATCCTTTTCTTTTAAAGTTTCATCTAGTCTTCCTGTTAACTCATTTACCTTTTGCTCTAGTTCACTGCTGTACTGGGTTGTTCGTTCCATTTTCTCTCTAAGTTCTATAATCACTCTTTCTTCCGTTTCACATTTTTTATGGAGATTATCCATCTCTTCATGAGAACGTTTTATTTTACTTACGAATTCATCTCTTTCCTCAGTAAGACAACTTATCTTTGCTTCTAATCCTTGTAATGTGATGTCTCTCTGACTGAGACTGACTAAGTACACTTCATTCTTTTCTTGAAGGTTCTTTATGGCAGTTTCAAGTTCTGGTACTAACTCTTGCTGAGACAATAACTTTTCATTTTCTTCCCGGAGCCGGTTCAGAGTTTCGAGAAGAGCATCTTTTTCATTAAATGCAGTTCTGAGCTTCTGCTGCAGTTCATGGACATCAGATGCTTGCTGTTGCTTCATTGATTCAAACTCTTGACTTATTTTTCCAGCAGATTCCCCCAGTTCTGTCTGTAAAATTTCCATAATCTCTCGTAAACTCTCATAATTTAAGATTGCTTCTTGTTTTTCTTGCTGAAGGTTTTCACACTGTTCCTTAAGACCCTGTATTTCAAACATTAATGTTAATTTTTCTTTTTCTGAATCTGACAAAAACGTCTCATGTAGTTCTGATATTTCCTTCTGATGTTGTTCCTTAAGACTCTGTACTTCTTTGTTATGTTGTTCTACAGCACAACACAACTGTTTATTTACATCTTCTAGTTCAGATTTTAATTTTTCAATTACAGAGCCCTGATCTTCTTTAGCTAGTAACAATTCGTTAATTTTAAATTCTAAGTCTTCTCGTTCATGAAAAAACTCATCTTTTATATGTTGGGCATCCATTTCAAGTTTTAATTTAAGGTTATTCATGTATGTCACCTCATCTTTTAAGATACTATGTTGAGACTCCAGTTCTTTTAAGGTATCTTCTAAGTGTTTGACTTTTTCATTTACTACTTGTTCTACAACAGTATCTTCTTCTAAGAGTGCAGTACACATCTGATTGTCTTGGTAAGGATCTGAGGTAGCTTTTCTTAAATTTTCTAACTCATATTCATGTTTCTCTTGAATGTTCTTCTCATTTGCCTCACACTGTTTCATCGAGTTCTCTTTTACTTGGTTTAACTTAATGACTTCTGCTTCATGTTCTTTAGCTGATGCTTCAATTTGGCACAACAATTCTTTCACCTCTTCTTGGTGGATGGCTTTTAGCTGCAACAGCTCTTCTTGCAAGGTATTAATATCTTTTTGGTAATGCTGAGAATTAGTTTCAATGACTTTCTGGAGATGAGTAATTTCTTGCTTCTTTTCATCAGTGGTAGCTTCTAACTGTTTCTGCAGACATAAAATTTGCTCCTCAAAGGCTGGTCTAATTTTCTCAATTTCTTCTTGTAATTTCTGAACATTATCTTCAGAGGCACACCGAAATTTAAGTTGTTCTGAAAGCTCTAATTGTTTATTAATTGCTTCTTCCAGTTCCTTTTGTAAGCTAGCTTTATCTTCATTGTGTTTGGAATGTAGTGCCATCAATTCATTTTTCAAATTTTCAATTTCCTTCACATAATTTCTATGTGATTGTTCGAACTCCTTCCGCACATCCTCCATCTTAGTCACAGAATCCTATTAGAAAAATAAACACACTTAAGTTATTTAAGTAAGACAAAAGAGATCCTTGCCCTCAGGAACAATATTAGAAGTAGGCTAACAAGGAAGAAAATGAAAATGAGCAGAACTGTGCCTAGAGAAGTATGATATTAAGAGCCCAAGAATTGCTTGAGATTCTGCCCACACCTTGCATATAACAGTATCTATCTGGAATACTAGACCTTTCCCTCGAAGTAATAACTGAAAACTAAGAAGTCTTTAAGTATGATTTTAACAAGTGATAAACTAGGGCCAGCAGGTGGTGTGGTGTTTAAGGTGCTGAACTCCCACATGGCCAACTGTGGTTTGAATCCCATACCCAATGACTTGAAAATCATGCCAGGTGCATGTGCCTACGTGCCCAGAATCCCAACAGGAGAATGGAGAAGGGATCGTGAGGTGGCCAACTCTCCTGGGGTAGGGGGTGATTTCTCACTTTTCCTTTTTCTCTCTCTCTCCAGTGAGCACATGCACCCTATAGCAAACACCTATTATTAAGAAAAAAAAAAAAGGTGATAAATTACACAAGTTGTTTAACACAAAGCTTTAACTTACAGCAACTGTATACATTAATAAGAGTTTTGGGAAAAAATGAACCCAGATCAGGTAACTAACAGGTAAGAAAGTACAAGCCTGCTACTGAACATCCTAAAACTGAGTAGATAGTGGAATCTAGAGTGACATGGGAAAACTGACTTTCAAAAATTTTTGGTGAACAGTGCCAGCAGGTGGTGTGGTGGTTAAGGCGATAAACACCCACATGTCCAACTGTGGTTTGAGCCCCAGACCTGGCGGGTAGCTTTCTCACCTTCCCTTTCTCTCTCTCTGGTCAAATTAAAATATAAATAATAGGGACTAGCAGATGATGTAATGGTTACGTCGCTGGACAACCAAGCCGTCAAGAGCAGTTTGAGTCCCAGACCCAACGGCTTGAAACTCATGCTGGGGGTGCATGTGTGGGCCCAAAACCCCAAGAGGAGAATGGAGAAGGGACTGTGGCAAGGCCATTCCTCTGGGGGTGATTTCTCACTTTCTGTCTCTCTCTTTCTCTCTAACAAGCACACATGCCCTACAGCAAAGCTCTCTCTCTAAAAAACTTATTTTTAATTCTCTAAAAAAAATTAAAACAAAACTTTAGTAAAGAATGACACTATAGTTACAAGGAAGATTAAACAGTGCAGCAAGTAAATATTACGTCTACCTCTGTGTAGTTGGGTAATTTGTTATTTTAGGTTTATTTTACAAATTACTTACATTGATTTCATAAGTGAGTGAGAGATAAAAAGAGAGAGAGCACCCCCAAAGGGTCCTGATCCTTGACCCCCCCCCCCAACAGCAGCTCTAGGTCATGGATGCACGAACCTAGAGTGAGGTCTCGGGATGTAAACCCAGAACCCTCCCATGTGCGCCAGAGAATCCAG